CAAACTTAGGGAGATGAGCAGCACAACAATCAGCAAGGGAACAGCAGCCAAGGCCACGACGGAAGAAGAGGGTGTGGATGGGCGCAGGCGCGCAATTGGCAAGGCAAGCACTACGGCAACATGTCAACTGGCAGCAAGACATGCAGGGAAGCAGCACCAAGGCATGCTGGAAACACACAAAGGCCTCCAACGAGCAAATACGTACAAATCAGATCTACAAATAGGAAGCATATAGACATGAGAACATCAATAGGACAAGGTTAACTACAGACGCAACTACACAGGTGACAGGCCCTACTGGCTATATTGACATTACATTGACATATTACAGCATAAAACCTTCACACTCGGCCGATGGACCTGCACTCCAGCACTCCAGGGCAGGTGCATGGAGCACAGAACAGACAGATTGCTTCTAACTAGCATTTCGTTAAAATTGACATTTTTTACTATTTTCACGAAATTGGGCATCTAAGAAAAAACTGAGTTTTTTAGCATGTTTTTGTGACCACGACATCGGACCATTGATGGTCCGGCGTCCTGGGGACTCCGGACCATCTGATGTATCTCATCGTAAAGTACTGTCAAAATACATCCGAGGGTTAAAAAAAAAAGAAAAAAAATTGAGGCATATCAGATGGTCCGGCGTCCTGGGGACGCCGGACCATCAATGGTCTAATGTGGTCGGCGCAAAAAAATGTAAAAAAATATTGTGCTTTTTTGGAAGTTCAATTTCGTGAAAATAGTAAAAAATGTCAATTTTAACGAAATGCCTGTTTTCAACACATACACACACATATACACACACATATACACACATAAACACACAGAATACACACACTCGACACAGACCACACAAACAACAGCTACAATCAGCAGTGTACAGGGACACTGGACCCAATTGCCAGCAGGTGCAGCTCCCCACCAATAGACGGAGCCTTCAACGCAGGAACTCACTTAATGGGGCTCCTCTTATCACCTCGGTAAGTGGGCCTCCCAGCATGCGAAGTTTCAAAAATAGAAGAAGAAAAAAAAAAAAAAAAGGCATGCAGGAAGCATGTCCCAGCCGCACAGGCTAAAAAGGGGCGGAGGATGAACGATATGCCAATTCTCAAGGCAATATTATGGGAAATGACAAGATATTTGGTTAGGCATGAAATTGGCATTCAGGAGGTTGTGGGTTCGAGACCCATGACCGCCTGTGCCGCACTTAGTGCCAACCAACTGTGATAGTCCGCTTAATACCCCTGATCGGTATGAGTAGGGTTTATGACCGACACGGGTGTGAGTGTCAGCGTGAGTGGGTTGTGTGTGCTGTACCACCGATTAGGGCGGGGGCCAACATGCATCCCCTTCAATTGTGAAAGGTAGCTATGCTTGCAGGGGCCCCTTGTATATGCTTCGGAGTAGTGCAAGCCTGCAAGGTGGGATAGTGAAAGGTGAATTTGAGAGGACAATATAGCTAGCTTTTATATAAGAAACAAGGGCGGACGAGGCATGTTTTGAGTTCCTAAAGGCACGAAAAACAGGCCTTCGGCGACTGTGTCAGGGCCTGAGTTCAAAAAGGCGTTCGTATCTCAGGCCGGCTGTGGTGTCAGGGTGGAGGTTT